TGGTCTTGTATGACTGGTTTGACGGCAAGTCATAAAACTTGTGTTTATATTCCAGATGATTGTTGGAGTGCAGAGAATCAAATAGCAATTGAGCCTTCTCGTCAATAGCTGCCTCGTCCGCTCCGTCGTTTTCGCGCTTGACACGGAAGACGATTTCACTCTTCGTCACTTTCAGCCACAGTACTTCTGCCAGTGCCGGTTTGACTTTCCATCCTGATGTTAGATGCAGTGCCATCATCCACTCCCCATTGAAAATGCATGGCTCAAATACGTTTGTATGCCACAAAATGTGATGCTCCTACTTCTCATACGTCGTTTCTGGCACCTTGGCTTCAATGAAGTACGACCGTTCGCCTGTGTATCTTTTTAACGGAGAACGGGCAGAATTCAACACCCGTACCCCCGTTCAACGGGTCCTGGGACCCCCTTTGAATCCCGTTTAACGGGAAACAGGGGCATCGCGTCGAATTCCGAAAAACGGAATTCGCGCGTTAGGCCTTGGACACGTGGCCCTACGCACCCAAAGAGAAAAAACAGAAAAAATAAAATAAAAAAAATTGATCCCTATTAACAGGGCGGGGTGGCCAACCATGCCCCTCCCTTTCGAAAATCAAACTGCAAGAGGGAAAAAAGATAGGGCCACCCCGTACGCCAACACTCTGAGCACATTTGTGTGCATGTTGGTGCATGTCCTTCTTTTTTTTTTTTTACCAAATGCTCCAATCTATTCGTCCAGTCTCATTTCCGAAGGGCCCCTGTCTATTAGCAAGGACCCCTCGTGGAGCAGAGATGCACATTGGACTTGTAATCTGTCTGCGTGGGCGTAGAATATATAGTCTGGATTCGAATTCAGGTCTGTGCACCACACTGATAATAGTTATGGGTCTTTAATTGTCTGTTTTCTTGTAATTCTTTGTTTCTTGTTTTTCCGTTGTTTTCTGTTTTTTTTTTTTTTTTTTTCATTTTTCTTTTGTTTTCTCGTTTTTCTTTTCTTAGGAATACGTGCAGTGGCCCTAAGGGCCTGTACTCACCACATGCACAAAAGACAAAACATATGGCGGTATATTATTCCACGTTCTAGCGGAAGATCCATTCTTTTTTTTCGAAAGCGAAGGGTGTTGATGAGGCCAAGGACCAGACCCGCGGTGATTGCTAGTAGCAAAAGCCACTGTGACATGGCCCAACACACCCCCACTCCCTACTATCCTACCTCAGTGTGACCGGCACACCCCTTGTCCCTACTATCCCTATTATCTTACCTCTGGGTGTTGTAGAGGACAAGGCCCAACACACCCCCTGTCCCTACTATCCTACCTCAGTGTGACCAGCACTCAGGACCATCACCCTGCCAATATTGAGGGCAACTTCGACCAGAGAGCATTGACAAGCACCGGCTGAGGGGCATAGTCCCATTACCAGACAGATTGGAGTGTGGCCGATCCAGTGTGACACTGAGTGGCAGCGGTCTGAAAGGTTCATTACGAGTTTCTGGGCTGAGAAAACAGGAGAAAGGCAAAAAAAAAAAAAAAACCCAGAGACCTCCCACTAGAAATCACGACAGAGTTTTTCCCAGCCATCAGATCACAAATGATCTGATGGTGGTGGTTGCAACAATAGTGAACGAAGCAGGCCAAATCAGGGAGTCTACCCAGCAGGGAGTCTACCCTGCAAGATTACCTAAGCGATGCAGGCAAAAAAATATGTTGTTTATGGTTTTGATTTTTTTAAAAATACACGAAATTATAAAATAAAATAAAAAAAAAAGTTTGTTGTACATCTTTGAAAGATCTACAACCATTACAAATCTTTGTGAAACCCAAAAAAAAAGACTCATGTCATTTTTTGTTTTTGTTTTTTCAGTGTGCTTATGTTTTCGATTTTTTAAAAATATATTAAAAGCTCCAAAAATAAAAATAAAAATATGGGGTTGTAGACCTAAAAAAGATCTACAACCCTATTTGTTTTTTTTTTTCCGGTTATGTTTAGCCTAGGAAAAAAATCATAGCGGACCCCGTTTTTCCCCGTCCAAGGCGCGTTTGAATGGGAGTTGAACGCGAATTCAACGTGCGTTCAATAATTCAATGCGGAACCTGCGTTCAATCCAAAATCGGACACACAGCCGTTCGCTGGCCTGCACAATGCGATCGGGAATATCATCACCGGGCATCAGCCTCGGAAGGGCATCTGGAACCGCCAAGTCATCCTCATCGGCCTCTGTCAGCATGTTGTGTTCCGTGTTTCCTTGAAGACTGTGAGGCCTCCCCTGGAACCCGTGACGATTGCCATGAATCAATGCATTCTCAAGTGCTCTGAGGGGCGTAGGCGAATCCGTTTGCATCTGTTCAATGGAGTTTGCCCTGTCGGTCACGTCACGCGTCGGACTGCTCGCACCTTCCGATTTCGTGCGACCTTCTTCTGGATTCTCGTTCGGCACGCTGCATGCAGGCACACTTTGCATTCCCTCTCGCAAACGTTTCACTCACTCTTCGATTTCAAGGTCCGATGTTTCGGTTTCCTCGTCGCTCTCGATCGGATTCCATCCATCGGTTGTTTTGACAATGTTGTTGTACTTTTCGTACGTTGGCATTGTCTGATTTGCTGTGAACTTTATTTGTTCACATCTCGCCACGAATATCGCAAACGCACCCACCTGCGCTTTATGGTAGCCACCATACGCTTCCTGTGCCATCGCTTTGCGAACTATGTAGTCATGCTCGAATGTCAACTTGGGTTGGCCTTGGAACAAATATTCCCACATCTTGTTTCTCTTTTTGTCCTGCTTGTGGTATATGTCCCTGTCTGAACGGTGTGCAGTTTTCTGTCTCTGAACCGTGCAATCGCTTCTCACGTTCTTCCCAAGAATTTCGATGGCCTTCGTCAAGTACGAAATGTCTTGGGACGACGAGTCGCATGCGAAAACATGATAGCCAGCGCGCAGAAGCTCCCACACAAGTCCAACATGCGGCTTCCCGATAAGAATCACCCCCTGATCCTCATGCAAAAACGAACCACACAACTTCTGCAACTGTTTGGGATGTCGTTCCCACCGCCCATATATCTCTCTCTCGTTTTCTTCCTCGCCGCCGTGCCTCGCTGTGCACCTCTTGAAGTGCTCCTCCTCAACGTTTAGCTCCACTATCTCCGCCTCCGATTTAGGGGTCCTCGTGACCTTCTTGAGGTCGCCGCCCTTGGCATGCAGGACGATCGCCATCGTGTCTTTATAATCGACTTGCCATTTTTCGTACTTGTTGACAGTCGTCCTGACCCCGAGATAACGCTTCCAAGTCCCGGGTATCACCTCAACATCGTCTTAGTTGTAAAGCTGCTTTATGACATCTTATGTTGTTTTTGCGGGGCAAAAACAATCAAAATCCAATTTGCAGTACAATATGTTGTTTTGTGCAGAGCGTCGAAATCGGCTGGCGACCATGCAAGACACTCCTTCGGGTTGGCGAGATCGAGGATGGCCGCCTTGCAATTCAAGTTCGTGGCCGCAGTCACAATTTCGTGGGCCGCGAACAGCAACTCCTTGGGGTGCATGTTGACCGGTAGCAATGTCGACCGTCGTTGTTTCTTCTCTTAACAAAGATGAAGCGCAGCGTTCTTCAACCGTCGCAACTCAATTGTATGTAAGTCCACTCTTCCTATTGCATGGTATACGAAGTACTTGAAGTGGAAAAACGCGTTCCTGTACAATGCCTCCGTGGCCTTCAGGTCAGCTCCTTTCAGACCTTTTTCCTTTTGCTCTCCGCCGAGTCTTTTTGGAACCCTCCGGATGTATTCCAAAGGGATCCTATCCCTTTCCTCATTCCATACGGCTGCCTTCACACCAAACCTTTCCTCCACTTTTCCATAGTCGAAGAAGTTCCCGGTCGTCCATTCTTTCGCCTCTTTGTTCTCCGATTTGAAGACGATGTAGTTGAACAAACGCATCATGTATCTCTCGCACATTATGATGTCGAGGAGGTTCATCATGTTCAACTTCCCAGGAGGAACCAGTCTAGTAGTGGCGATGATTTTCTTATTTATCATCAACCGCAATGCAATTTCCTTCTCTCGTGCCGTCACATCTCCAAAACATTTGAAGTTTGACGGAACGAGATCTTTGAAGGACACCGTAGCGTTTGGTCCCCCGTCCCTAGCCGGTATGCAATGGAACACCTCCTTCTTCCCCTACACCTCTTTAGTGAATTGACCCGACACCCTCCACTCCTGCTTCCCCGGCAAGTCCTTCGGGCATTTATTGTCGTGTAGCGGTAATTCCCCCGCCTCGAACTTCTGAAAAAACTCTTTTACCAATGTCCATATCCAGTCCTTGCATGTGGCGACATTCATGTATCCCCTCATACTGTTCGTCCAGTCCTGTTGCCACTTCGGAGCCAAACACTCGGTCCACAGTGATTTGTCACATGACTTCCCCATGCACGCCCTCATAAATTTCCTCCACTCTTCCTGGTGCGTCAAACCGGTGGGATCCCCTTTGGACACGTTCCCCACAGGGCCGATCCATTTCTTCGAGTCCCAAGATCCTCTGATGTCCTCGCAGGCTTGGTGGAACGACGACAACATAGCACCATCAACTCTCGTGTTGTTGTGTGTCGAAACATACGAGTACCTGTTCGTGTGGTCGTCATCGAAATAAATGATCCGTACTCGATCATAATTCTGAAAGCCGAACACCTCCATTGCTGCAGAATTATCCGCCACTGCTCTTTTCATAGCTTCGGAAGTATGTTGACCGGCAACCGGGTAATAGAAATACTCATCTGCCCTATCAGAATTGAAGTCTTGTGAAAGGACGCGTATCCCTTGGATGTTCTCGTCCTTTGATGGCGTAATCAGAGCCAGCACTAACTCCAGTGGATCCCACGGAGCCAGATCATCCTCGGACCTTGGACGAGTTGATGCAGCAATTGCCACATCGATGCTTGCAACGATGGCCGGGTTCAGCGATCGCTGGTTGAAGGCGATATCTCGCAGCGGAATTGGAAGAATCTGCACGATGTCAATGACCACCCTCGGCGGGTCTCTTCTCTTTTTGCCGTCCTCATCGTACTCGAGGAAGAAGCACTGCGTCGTGTTGACCGCACTGGGTTTCTTTATCTCCTTCTCGTCGTCGTCAAGGAGGGAGAGCAAGCGAGGGGCACCCCTTCAGCGTCGTCGCTGAAGTCGTCCGATTTCTGGCGCCTTGATGGTCGCACGGGCTTCTTAGGTTGTGACGTTCTGCGAATCCGAGCACTTGATTTGTATTTCACATCGGCTCCACGAAGCGTCCCTTGAGTTGCATCCAAGGCGACCCGAGCTTCGTCCACAACTTTCCTTCGAGCTTGCTTCTTAGGCGCAGCGTGCGTCGACGACGATTGCGCTGTGCGTTTTCCCCTCCCCTTAGAAGTCAGCCCCGCGGGAACACCGACATCTCCTCCTTCGTCTTCCAATTCCTCGTCTTTCATTTCCAATCCACCCACACTGCCACCGCCCACCTCACCACTCGCCGCAACCTTTTCCCACTCCATATGGTCCACCGCTTCTCCAACCTGTTCTCGTTGCTCTCCACTACCACACTCCCCTTCATCCTCGTCGTATTCTCCATCGGCACCTCCACCAGCTTCCCGCCCCACATTCACATCGCAAGAGCCTTCGCCCTGGATGTGCCCAGGCGTCGCTACCAACTGTGAATGCCATTGGCGAACTCGTTCGTCTTCCTCCGTATCTTCGTCTGACTCCTCGTCGATTCGACGTTTAGCGGTGTCCCACGAGCGCGAGCTGGCACCAGCACGAGAGCTTCCTGGAAGATCCAAAGGAGGTCTGGCGAGCACCTTGCTCTTCGGAAGGTTTCGCGATGACCCACCGCCCAAACGCCTCCGGTAAGTAATGACTTTCTCCTTCCCGGCGACATGTTGTTGCGGTGTCGACACAACCTGTCGCCGATCGCTTGAGCACGTTGACAAGCCTGCGAGGCTCTCGACATGGGCGTCGAACGGGACTAGAGGTAATGTGAGCTGGTGACCAGCGGCGACCGTCGAGAATTGACCACTTTTCCTATACCCGTTGGTCTTGCTGAGGAATTCAATGGGCAATTGCATCCTAAACGCATTCCCATCTTGCTTTCCGCCGAAGGCTTTCATAGCGAATGCCTTCTCACCTTATCCCTTGAACAAAGCAAGGTCGAGGCTGACCTTGTGGTCAGTCTTGACCCAGTCGGTACCCTGCTCATCGTATATTGAAGTGAGGAAGAACTTCCTTAAGTCTCGCTCGTCGACCTTGCCCTTCTCCGCCATGGCCTTGTCAATTTCAGACTTGATGATGCCACCACAACAGTACCAGGTCGCCCCTTCATCCTCCGTCAAAAACACAGCAGCACCGCACCCGGGCTCGCCGGTCACTCAGACCCAGTTGAGAGCCCACAGCTTGTCGCGATACAGTTTCGATCTGTTGTTGTACCTCTTATCCGCGTTATTCGGACCCTTACGACCTGTCCCTGGAGAAGATATCCATAAGAAAAAAGGACGAGGGATGCATTAATGTCACCTATCTCTATCTCACGCAGGGCAAGACGGGACATAGCAAACAACAGAAGCAATCGCAAGGCACATGCCGACGACGCTCATTCCACGAGGGGGGGGGGGGGGTTCCCGACGCTGGACACCCCTCGTCTGTCGCTGCCGGCAGTCATGGGTCCAGCGTCTCACAAACGCTGAACCCCCTGCGTTTTAAAAACGCTGAAGCCCAGCGCACCGGCCGAGTCATTGGCGGGAGTCCACGCCTCGCACAAACCGGTATGCGGGGGTCCTGCGTTTGTGAAACGTTGAACGTTTGTGAAACGCTGAGCGTTTGTGAAATGCTGGACCCCGCCTACCGGCGTCGCCGGCAGGTGTCCAGCGTTTTACAAACGCTGGACCCCAGCCCTCGACCCGGCCGGCAGGCAAGGGTCCAACATTCGACAAACGCTGGACCCCCGCCAATGGCTTGGTTGGCAGGCGTGGGTCCTGCATTTCGCAAACGCTGGACCCCCACCAAAAGCACGGCCGGGGGGCGGGGGTCCGTCGTTTGGCAAACATTGGACCCCTGCCTGCCGGCCGGGTTGAGGGTTGGGGTCCAGCGTTTGTAAAACGCCGGAAACCCACCAATAGCGACGCCGGTAGGCGGGGGTCCAGCGTTTCACAACAGAGTTGCAGGCCTACCGGCCGTGCTTTTGGCGAGGGTCCAGCGTTTGACAAACGCTAGACCCCCGCCCACCGGTCGTGCTATTGGTGGGGGTCCTGCGTTTGACAAACGTTGGACCCCTCCAAAAGCACGGCCTGTGGGCGGGGGTCCAACGTTTGTCAAACGTTGGACCCCCGCCAAAAGCACAGCCGGTAGGCGGGGGTCCAACGTTCGACAAACGCTGGACCCCCGCTGAAGAGCAAGGCCGGTAGGCGGGGGTCCAGCGTTTGACAAACGTTGGACCCCTGCCCACCGGTCGTGCTGTTGGTGGGGGTTCAACATTTCACAAACGCTATCTTCCACCCCGCCTCTTGCCTCCTGCGTGCCTGCCGGAAGCCCCCTCCCACAGTGCTATCTCCCATTCCTACGTGGTTTTACAAGCACATTGCAATCACATTTCCGGTGGATTTTCGAAAAAAAAAAGTGGGGAGGGTTCGATCCCCCCCCACAGTGCTATCTCCCATTCCTACGTGGCATTACCAGCATTACGCAATCACATTTCCGATGGATTTGCGGGAAAAAAAAAGGGGGAAGGGTTCGATCCCCCTCCCCCATTGTGCTCTCTCCCATTCCTCCGTGGCATTTCCAGCATTTCGCAATCACATTTCCGGTGGATTTTCGAAAAAAAAAAGGGGGGGAGGGTTCGACCCCCCCCCACATTACTATCTCCCATTCCTATGTGGCATTACACGCACATTGCAAACACATTTCCGGTGGATTTTTGAAAAAAGAAAAAGGGGGGGAGGGTTCGATGCCCCCCCACAGTACTATCTTTCATTCCTGCGTGGCATTACCAGCATTTCGCAATCACATTTCCGGTGGATTTTCGGGGAAAAAAACAAGTTGGAGGGTTCGATCCCTCCCCCACAGTGCTATCTTTCATTCCTACGTGGCATTATTGGCATTGCACAATCACATTTCCGGTGGATTTTTGAAAAAAAAAAAAAAGGGGGGGGAGGGTTCAATCCCCCCCCCACAGTGCTATCTTTTATTCCTACGTGGCATTACCAGCATTTCGCAATCACATTTCCGGTGGATTTTCAGAAGAAAAAAAAAAAGAGGGGGTGGGTTCGATCCCCCCCCACAGTACTATCTCCCATTCCTACGTGGCATTACAAGCACATCACAATCACATTTCCGGTGGATTTTCGGGAAAAAAAGGGGGGGAGGGTTCGATCCCCCCCGCCCAATGCTATCTTTCATTCGTGCGTGGCATTACCAGCATTTCGCAATCACATTTCCGGTGGATTTTTGAAAAAAAAAGGGGGGATGGTTCGACCCCCCCCCACATTACTATCTCCCATTCCTACGTCGCATTGCAAGCACATCGCAATCACATTTCCGGTGGATTTTTGGGAAAAAAAAGGGGGGAGGGTTCGATCCCCCCCCCACAGTGCTATCTTTCATTCCTACGTGACATTACCAGCATTTCGCAGTCACATTTCCGGTGGATTTTCGAAAAAAAAAAAAAGGGGGGGGGAGGGTTCGATCCCCCCCCCACAGTACTATCTCTCATTCCTACGTGGCATTACAAGCACATAGCAATCACATTTCCGATGGATTTTCAGGAAAAAAAAGGGGGGAGGGTTCGATCCCCCCCCACAGTACTATCTCTCATTCCTACGTGGCATTACAAGCACATCGCAATCACATTTCCGGTGGATTTTCGAGAAGAACTGTTTGTGGTGCTCCAAATGTCTTGTGAGAAGCAAGTGGAGTGCACGCAACTCATGAAAATTGTGGACTGGAAAACCGCGATCTCGCCGTACCTTGACAACTTGATTTCAGGCCATGCCACACCCCACCTTTTCTGTTTCTACATGGAGGGTGATAACCTGGCTACGGTCTACAAAGCGCACTGCACCGACAAAAACTGGGGGTCTGACAAGGGACCGGTGTACTGGTTCAAACGTGGTGCGGACAAGAAATGGGCAGGTCCCACATGGGGATTCGAGCCGCGCCGCGAGTCGCCCAACCCCACTTCCGGTGACTTTACAAACGGCAAAGCGGGTCTGCGCGTTTTAGTGAAGACGTGGAAGGACTCAATGAACGAATGAAAAACTCAAACTATAGAGGAGCGCCAACTCAAGACTGACAGACTGAGATACTGGACGGAGCGCTTAGGCAAATTCGACATGTTAAGGCAGAAGAGACTGGAACAGTGCCCTTGTCATACTTTTTTTGGCCATCACCCAGGCCGAGCAAACCAAGTGAGGAGTCCGCGGTCCCGTACGTCGTGCCACAGCTGTTGAGAAAATCGTGTTTTGTCAGCCATAGGAAGGATGCACCCAAACCGGAATTCGACCCTTGTGAAGCTGTTGAGATTGATGATTTCGTTGTTTTGCGCGCTCCAGATGACCACGTGCAAGAAGGGTGTACCTTTTGGGTTGCTCGTGTCATCAAGAAGGAGACAACCCGGATTTTCGTGGAGTACAAGAGGCCGTGTGGTCGCGAACAAGAGGTCTCAAAGCTTTACGAAGATGCATGGAATAAAACGTGGAGAGTGGAAACAGAATCGAAACCCGGATGACAAGACCTCAGAAGCGTGGCATGGGCATGGACCAGCGGAATTCGATTCAGAACGGGAATGAAAATCCGGAAAGGGGATGCACTTAAAGCACAACAGTCGTTGGCGGCGCCTGATTCAGCGGATACTTTCTGCAAGATCAGTCGGGATATCGATGCATGACGATTTTCGAAGACGCTCGAGGATTGTGGTTGGTGTCTTCATTTGCAGATAGTGAATGGCCGGACCCCTCTTGGGCCGCTGCACCGGGAGATGGTCAAACATTATCTGTGGGGATGCCGAACCCCTCCACCCTCAATCGTGAAGGGATCCGGGGTTACACAAAAGCCCGGGTGTGGCCGGGCGTATGCGTCAGAGCGCCACCCAAAGCGGTCAACAGGGAGGGCGTCCCGCGTTTGTGAAACACCGGACCCCCCCCCAAAGCGTCAGAGCGCCACCCAAAGCGCCAGAGCGCCACCCAGAGCGCCACCCAAAGCGGTCAACAGGGAGGGGGTCCAGCGTTTGTCAAACGCCGAACCCCCCCCCCCCCCCCCCCCCCCGCTTCTAGTAAGGGAGGGTGAGGGAGGGAGGGGGTCCACCGCCACCCAACGCGGTCAACAGGGAGCGGTTGCCACGCTTGTCAAACGCTGGACCCCCCCCCAACGATTCTGTTAAGGGAGGGGTGAGGAAGGGAGGGGGTCCGGCGTTTGACAAATGCCGGACCCCCCCCCCCACCGCTTCTGTTAAGGGAGGGGTGA